TTTTTTTTTTTTAAGAGATTTTTGCTACAGGGCACATGTGCTCACCAGAGAAACGAAGAGACAGGAAACAAGAAATCACCCCCCAGGATAGATGGCCGTGCCCCAGTCTCTTCTCTTTCATTCCCCTCTGGGGATTTTGGGCATGCATGCACATGTGCCCGGCATGAGTTTTTAAGCCCCTGGGGCCAGGACATGAACCATGGTCGACTACATGGGAGTCCAGCGACATAACCATTATGCCCTCTGCTGACCCCAGTGCGTTAGTCCTTGTTAGTTACCCTGTAAGCTTTGTTAGAGGGTATATGCACTCGCCAGAGAGAGCTACTCCCTAACCGCGCTATGAGGGGCAGCCACAGCATGGTACGCTGTCCCCCTGGGGTTTCAGGCACACAGGCACATGTGCCCAGCTTCCGCGCCAAGCCACCAGGTTTGGGACTCAAACTGCAGTCTGCCGCGTGGGGTTCAGCTGCCTGAACCACACCACCTGCTGGCCCGAAAGAGTATTACTTGATGAGAAAAAAAAAATTTCTTACTAAAAATGCACTGAGGCATTAAAGACAGCACCCTAACGGGGGTGTCCTCACCCCAGGCTTGGCTGGTAAGACTCATCACACCTGGCACTTCTAGTGGCCAGTGACGGCCAGCAGGCAGACGCCATGCCATGAGGCTAGTCTGCAGGGCCGGTCCACATGGGAAGGTCCGAGTTCACGTTTGGAGACCCCCGGGTGCACCAGACACCTGTGTGAATGTGACCGGGAACTGGCCGGGGCTGGACAGCAGGGCAGGACCCTGCTGGGATTGCTGTCCCTCTCTCTGCCTCTCGTTTATGAAGATAACATTTTGTTTCGATCTCTTTTTTTATTTTTTAATTTGCTACAGGGAACATGCACTTGCCAGAGGGAGGCTGAGAAAAAGGGAGAGTGAGAAAGTGCGTGGGTACACACACGTACACACACGTACATGCACATACATACACACATGAGTACCAACACACACGTACACACACACACACACACACACACACACACGGGAAGGTGGCCACACCTCAATCCCATCTCCATTCTCCTCTTGATATTTTGGACACTACCCGCCACCCAGCATGTTTTTCAAGAGGCTGGGGCAGGACTGGAACCGCGCTGTCAGTGGGATCCAGCCTCCTTAACCACATCATCAGCTGGCCCTAAAAATCTGACTTTCTATACAAGAAAGGAGCCCCCAGTTCCTCCCCCAGCCACTTCAGGAGCAGGGGCCCAGGAGGGACAGGACGAGTCCCCAGGCAAGGAAGGGTCCAGCCCCATGGCCCACCCAGGCCCCAGCATCCGGGCCTGGACACAGCCAGCCTTGGGCAAGTGTCCCTGGACTATTTCAAAGACAAAACCAATTTGGAAAGACTTCCAATCTGCACGGTCAGCCACCAGTATAAACAGAACCGGACTTCGGCCCAGGGCCAGTTCCTAGAAGACAGCACCCCTCTCCCACGTGCAGGCCACAGGTGTGCACCCGGGTGGCCTCCGCAGGCCCTGCGCAGGCTCCTGTCTCTAAGGCCGGGAGGCTCAGGAGGCTGAGGTGGAGGCCCTGAGCAGGGGCGCACAGAAGCATGCTGCAAGACCCGAGAGGGCAGCAGGAGGCCGGGCGGCGCCAGGCTGGGGACACGGAAGGGGGGCGGGCAGGCCACTCGCAGGGCGGGAGAGGCTGGGCACGGAGCCAGGCACGCAGTGGACCCTCGACGCGGATTTCTTGTACTATATTAATTTAATTTGGATGAGAATAAGCAATACCTCGAATTAATCTCTTCAATGGGAGTTAGTTGAAATGATTAGGTTTTTCTATCCTATCAACTCTAAAACTAGAATGGAGAAAAACACAAAAGCAGTTCAATTTAAATAAAAGTACAGCTTTGAACTTTGAAATAATCAGATATTGAGCGGACACAGCTATTTTTCCAACTTAGATTCTAATTAGTTTTCTTCGGTCTAAAGCTGATATGCATTCTATAAACTTGCAAATTTAGCAATTATCTGTAAAAATCTTTTTCTTTAAATAACTTGAGAGGTGTCTGCGGAGACTAAAAATATAAGCAACAGATACAGAAATGTTTAAAAATGAAAAATTTGCCTGACAAATATACTTACAAATGTGAAAAATCTGTGTTAAGTTACCTCAAAATCATGTACATCCTTTGACCATAAATTTCAAACTTATTAAAGTTAGAAAACCTCAAAGATGAAAGAGAAATGTCAGCAGTTGATGGCAAGCAAGAGTAAGTTTGATATGATCACAATGCTTCACAAACCACAAAATCTGAATTTCAGAGCAGGAATAAATGTTTGCAACCACCTAATCCAAATCTCATATTACTATTTGTGCAACATACCACAGAGTTTCGGTAATTTTCCACAAGGTACCAGGGTGGGTGGCATTGAAGTGGGTGGCATTGAATCCCAGGTGTGCTGCCTGTTCACCCAGTGCTCATCGCAGGCGCGGGTGGGGGCGGCGGCGCGCGCGCTTCCGGCCTGGCCCCGGCGGCCGCTGCCTCCAGAACGGGCGGGCCGGGGCTCGGGACGTGGGGCACGCCCTGCGCTGGGCCGAGCTCCCGGGAGGGTCGCTGAGCTCCTCGGCCCCAGGCCCTCAAATCCCCGCAGAATAGCGGGAGGGGGCGGCGGGGGCGGGGCACAGACCTGCGGGGAGGCCCGACCTCTCTGGGGAGGTGCTTGCGCCTACCCGGGCAAGGACCAGGTTACCTTTCCACGCAGAGGCAGGGGCTGCTGCCTCAGTGACCCCCCTCTGGCAGGAGAGGGACCTGGCCCACGTGCTCAGGGGAGAGCCAGGGCAGGAGCATTGTGAGGTCCTACCGTGCCTCTCCTTGGGCACTGCAAGGCGGGTTAGACTCGGTTTGATGTGAAATCCCTGCCTCTGGCGGGCCAAGGGTGAATTCTAGCCCACGCCCACAACAGGCCGGTCTCCCTCCCATCGTGCTTCTTCCTCCCCGCAGGCAGACTGCAGCCCCACGGCCCTGGGGGACCCTCACCTGGAAGGTAAGAACGTGCTGAGCCTGGTGCCCAGCTGCCCAGGGCCAGCAGAATTCCAGGCCGCGGGTACAGTGAGGGATTCCTGGTCCCAGAGGCTCTGGGGTGCAGGGTGGCAGCTTGGTGAAGCCTGAGCGGCTGGCTTGGGCTCACACTTTCTCTAAGCACAGTTTAGAAGAGTTTTCCAGAGCGATTCACTTCATGTTGTCAGTGGTTTGAAAGCGGCAGGCAGGCTCCGTGGGAGGCAGTGCTGTGTAACCTGGACTGGGTGGTCTGGGTGGGCAGGCTGCTCACTAGGTGTCAGGGAGCACGGCAGTGGGTCCAGAGCTGTGCACACAGCAGGGGAGACCTGCTGCTTCTCCTCAGGGGCCGCACCTCCCCCACTGTGCCTCCGCCCCGGGCCCACGTGCTGTCTAAGGGTGACGTTCTTGGTGACAACTCCAGGCAGTGCAGGGCTCATGGGCTGTTTGTCACCTCTGCCATTTTGCTGTGGTATCTGAGTAACACCCACAGCGAAGCGGGCATGGGTCCCTGGCCAGTGGAAGAGTGATGGATTTGCCTGGGTGTAGTTGGTACTGAGCTGGGACAGCAGGATTAGGGAGCTGCCGGGCAGCTTCACACCACCCCCAGCACCACCTCCAGGGCAGCAGGCTGTCACCCAGGGTAACCGTCAGTTAGTTATGGTTAAATGCATTTGGTCAGCATAAGTTCTTCCAAAACTTAATTTTGAACCTTTAAGTTAATGATATTTTTTCCCAAAAATAAATTGATGAATTGTAGCATCGGCCTCTGAGTTGGTATCTCAGTGTTCGCTAATTCTTGATGTCCAAAATCTGTTTTGAAAAGCAGGTACAGCATGCTTCAGAGGGTCTGAGGGGCAACGGAGACCCGACCTGAAGCCTCTGGGACACGAGTCCTGTCTCGATGCAGCTGGCCTCGCAGATAGTCCCAGGTAATTGTGAGTGGGCTCACGCTGGCTTCCCCTGAGGCACCAACTGGCCGTAGCAGACTTCTGAGCTGTCACAGCAGGTGCGTGGTTAGGGTTCTACTGTCCCAGAGCAGGAGCCGGCCCCCCTTTCTGTGCAAGGGCCGTGACATGTACACATCTGGCCACGCCTGTCCAGGAGGAAGCGCCTGGTTAAGTGGAGAAAGCTCCCGGTAGAAAAGACTCCCCTGGCCACAAAGCAGACCCTGAGGCCAGCCCAGCCACCTGCTGGAGTTCCCAGAGTGGCACCACTGCCGGGGAAGCCCACTGTCCCTGTGGCCATTGCCGACGGGGCTCTCCTCTCGCATCCGAACTACACATCAATGCAGTTCTGGAGCGCGGAGGGAACCAGAGGGACCTGTTCAGAGTGACGCTTGCCAGCTGCTCAGCGTGCCCCGTGTCTGCCGGAGCCACCAGGCCTTCCTCGTGGAGGGGCTTGCCAGCCTGTCTTCTGTGCTCCGGAGACTGGTCCAGCAGCTCCACTGCAGTGCCACATGTCCGAGCCACAGAAATGGGAGAGGGGAGACGCACAGGGTGGAGAAGGGCCCACAGCCGTGTTTGGGGCAATTTCTAGGCTAATGAGTCAAAAATGCAGTAGGATCTTAGGAGTCCCGTGGCCAGTACGTGGTTGGCGTTTGAACACGGGAAGGCCTCGAGCCGAGTGTGGCACTGGGTGCCGGCAGTGGTCACTGAGTGGCTCTCCTCACACGATTCTCTGTTTTAGGAGCGGCAGGTGAGGCTGTCCGGACCGGCTCCCTAACCCTGGGCTCCTGGAAGTCGTTCCTTCCACCTCCAAAGACGCCTCTGTCTCTGCCACGTCTTGACAGTCTCTCAAGGTAAATCAAATGCCTTTTATCTTCTTGCAGGAAAGATGGAAGCCCGGAGTAAGGCAGGAGAGGACCGGAGGACTCCGGGCACCTGCCAGGGGTGTGGGAGCTTCCTCTGATTGGACCTTCCCGGCAGCCCCAACCAGGGGAATTAACTCCCCCTTTTACAAGTGGGGAGTAGCCAGCCGGCAAGGCCTGCGTTGCCCAGCCAGGACTGCAGCAGTGGCTGTCGGGTCCCGTCCAGCCCTGCAGTGCGCGGGGCGTCTGGCACGCAGTGAAGCTCCGTGGCCAATGCGTGGCACGGGCACACACCCGCATGCTCTCTCCCTCCCAGGATGTGACAGCGGCGGGGAGAGCGAGCGTGGCTCCGGCGGCCGTCGCCTCTGCTAGGATGTTCCTCATGAATGCCCCTCCAGTGGCCGCTCTGCAGTCCACATGGGAGGCCTTCGGACCGCCCGGGAGCTGTAGGCTTCCCGGCTGCTTCTCGGAATCGCAGGAGGGCGTGGTGCGAGCAGCGGTGAGCGCCCGGGTGCAGAGGCTCATCGGGGCGCTGCGGCGCCACCAGGCCACCCGGGGCATGAGCGATGAGCGCGGGGTGCAGGGGAGCCCGAGGGCAGGGCGGGGCTGTGAAGCCAGGCTGGCCTCCAGCCCTGCAGGCCCCGCAGGCCCCACTGCGCACAGAGAGCCGCCCACCCTCGCTGCCTGTGCTCTTGCTGCCGATTTCAACCCCGCGAGGGAAAAGGGCGCCACGGGCTTCAGCCCTTTGGTGCTGGATTCAGACAGTGACGACTCCGTGGACCGCGACATCGAGGAGGCCATTCAGGAGTACTTGAAGGCCAAGAGCAGCACCGCACGGCCCACATCGGGGGCTCAGCTGGGCGGGGCGGGCGTCAGGGACACCGGGCGCACTGCCGAGCCTCCTTGCAGCAGCCCCCCAGCTGGCCTGGGTCCACCCAGGCTCGCCGCGGGCACAGGCTCTGTCCTCGGCAGCCACACGCGAGCTGAGGCCCAGGGCGCCGCCTCCCCAGTGAGTGTGAGCAGCGACGACTCCTTCGAACAGAGCATCCGGGCGGAGATCGAGCAGTTTCTGAGTGAGAAGAGACAGCATGGAGCCCAGAGGTGTGCCGGGGCTGGGGAGCAGGAGCCGGACCCGCGAGAGAACTCCACCAGAGATGCCCCCGGGTCCTGCTGGGAGCCGCCCGGGAAGGCAGAGCCCCGGCAGGCCCTGACCGCAGCCTGCAGGGAGTTCGTCTTCCGCAAGCCCCCCAGGTTAGCCAGGGGGAACGTGGGCAGCTGGAAGCCCGCCACCCCCTGCCGCTCACCGGAGACCGCCCAGAATAAAGGCCCGGCTAGGAGGAGCGCGGGCGCAGGGAGGAGGGGCCGGCGTGCCCAGAGCGCAGCCCCGGCACGGGAGCCATCGGAGTCCAGCAGCGATGACGGCATCGAGGAGGCCATCCAGCTCTACCAGCTGGAGAAGACGAGGAAGGGGGCCGGCAGGGACGCACCTGGCGCCCCGCTCGGCGAGGACGGGGGGCCCAGCCCTCCCACAGACAGCACGAGCAGCTCCATGAAAAGCGCCTCTCCCGAAACCCACAGGAAGACACCGAGCAAGAAGCAGCAGGTGGCCCTGAAGGCCGCGGAGCCCACCCTGGCCGCCCCCACACCTGAGCATCCCGCCAGGCCCCTGAAGGACACCAGAGCTGCTCCCCCAGCAGATGCAGCCGCCAGGGCCGGGGCTGGGGACTGGGGCTGCCGGGCAGACACGCCCGCTGAGCTCATGTGCGCCGAGGCTATCCTGGACATCTCCAAGACAATCCTGCCAGCCCCCACGGCGGCCGGTGACGGACCCCTTCCCGCCAGCCCGCTTTTGCGTGCCCCGAGTGTGCCTTCCCGCTCTGACGGCGACAGCAGCTCTGTGGACAGTGACGACAGCATAGAGCAGGAGATCCGGACGTTCCTGGCCCTGAAGGCACAGTCAGGCAGTGTGCTGGCCAGAGCCGAGGGCCGCCCCCAGCCCTCACTGGGCCTGCCGCTGTCTCCAGATCCCAGCAGCCAGACGGAGGGCATCAGGGCCCCTCGCTCCAAGACCCCAGACCTGTCCCCGCGCTTCAGGAGGAAACGCAAAAGCAGCAGCAGTGCCGTGAAGCCACCCATGTCCAAGAAAACCAGGGAGGGCGTGAAGGAGAGCAGCCAGGATCCCGACCACAGTTGGGCGGAGCTGCCCGGCCAGGGGAAGGCCACTGAGGCCCCAGGGAAGGAGGGCGAGGCCAGGGGCCAGCCGCTCCCCTCCAGGACAGCCGTTCTTGGTAGTCCACATGGGCCACAAGGCCACAGCCAGGCGGACGAGGCAAGACGGGCCGATGGGAAAGGGAGCTCCGAGGACAAGAGCAGCTCTCTGGACAGTGACGAGGACCTAGACACGGCCATCAAAGACTTGCTACGGTCCAAGCGGAAGCTCAAGAGGAAGTGCAAGGGCGCCAGGCCCACGTGCAAGAGAAAGGTCCGGTTCAGC